TTTGTTTGGTGTTCACTATCTCAAACACAAGTCTGTGTATTTTCCCCCTGACCACACAGTCAGTGTGAAATTTCCCCAGGGATGGAATGTATGTGTCAGAGTACAGCTTTAGCCTTGTTCTGGTCGGCTGTAAGGCTGTCTTTGGTGACAGTTTCTCTTTAAACTGGCGGCCCATAACATTGCAAGTGGCCCCTGTATCTAGCTGGCATAGCTGTCTTTTCTTATTCAGGTGTAGGTGTACAAACCATTTGCGTCCAGGTGCTTTCACATTCCCCACATATTCAGTGACATTGTATAGGTTTTCACTTGTATCCGAGTCCCCTTCAGTTTGCTGTACATCCTCAACAACATTAACTTTTCTTGTTTTCTCTGCTCTGCTGCTGGCCTGACATACTTTTGCAAAGTGATTTGAAACGCCACATGCTCGGCAGGTCTTACCATAGGCTGGGCACTGCTCTCTGCCCCGTTTGTGTCCATTTCCACAGTATTTGCAGGTCCACTGCTGCTCTCTCTCAGCCGCTGTGTTTCTTTCAGCTGTTTTCCACTGTATTTTGCGTCGTCCGCCTTGCCTGTCCACCATAGAATTAATACTGTCCACCTGTGCCTGCGGGCTCTCAATAAGCCTCATGCGTGACTCCGTCAATTCTGCAAGGCAATCTCCACAGCTGTTGGCAGCGTTAGGTCCCGTTCACGCAGCAGTCTCCGTCTGGTGCTCTCGCTGGCAATACCGAGTACCAGCCTGTCCCTAATCAGTTCATCTTTTAGGTCACGGTACTCACATGATGATGCTTTTTCCCTCAGCTTTGTTATAAAGCTATCGATCGGCTCGTCCGGTCCTTGTTTGCAGCATCCGAACGTGTATCTCTCATAAATCACATTTTTTGCCGGCTTGAAATAATCCCCCAACGCATCCAACATTGTTTTGGGGTCTTTCTTTTGTTCCTCGGTCAGTGTGACGTTGTGCATATATATATGCCGGCACTCGTTCCCCATAAGCCGTCTCAGCGTGGCTGCCTGCACCGCATCGTTTTTTCGGTCAGACCTGTAGCGAGCATAAAGTCCTCAAATTCTGCTATAAAAACCTCCCAGTTTTTGGCTATATCACCAGACATATGCATGCCCTCGGGTGCCGGAATACTGTTTGTCGTCATGACGTGAGTTTTCTTGAGCTTTTAGTCCAAGAAGACCGCTTCTGACACCATGTTTCAGTCTGCAGCTTTATTCCGTAACTCACAACTCCATCACATGTATATTCCCGCGCTTGCGGATATAGTACATCACAGTGTAAGCCTGTGTCAGCATGCAGTTTACTAAAGCGCCAACAGGCGTCACTATATAGCAGGTATTAACAGATGCCCATATCTGTAACAACCTGCTCCCTCTTTTCTTCAGCAACCAGCACAGTATGGGCTCAGAACAGTCTCATAATACACACATGCACACAGAAGGATTCACACTTGTATTTCATGATCCGCAAAAGGATTCAAACTTGTATTTCCGGATCCACACTTGTGTTTTTCAATGCATACACAAATGTGTTCCGTTTCATATACATGTAAATAAAATCCAAACACAGAAAAAAGTTTTACATGTGTATTTTTGATCCACACATTAGTTTTCCGTTTAAAACCGCTGCACCTTCAAACACAAACAGCTTTCTGTGCACGGATCGCTTTGCATTCGTGTGTGGGTTTTTTGAGACTCCCCTGACGCTCACCCGATTCGTACTTGTAATTTCTCTCATCTATAGCCAATCAGATGTCTCCTCCAGTCTAAGCCAATCACATGAGCGCGCCCCCACGTGGGTAGGATTTCTTGCGTTCGTGACGTAGCGCTTCATTTACGCTTTTTGCGCAGTCCGGACTCCGGAGCTGACAGGTCAACTTCAACATGGCGTCTAGCACAAGTGTAAGTTATATGTGTCTCGGCGTGAATGATTAAATATGTTTTAGGTATGAATTATTGTTATGTTAGTGATGTGTTAGCATGGAAGTAATATGGGTGGCATGTAATGCTAGCGTTTGCTGGCAAGTTAGCTATATTATGCTAATAGACTACCTAGGATTATAACCTTACATAGCTAACATTAGCCAAACATTTCTTTAACTTCTTTCATTCTGTTGCTTTGTTTTTTAGGGACAATTTAGACAGAATTAATCCAAAGTTTGCTGCTCAAATTATTATTCAAAAATATATTCCATTGTGTTTAATGATGGGGTGGAATTGAACATTAAGAGATGATGTTAAATAGGATTAACCAGTGTTGGTAAACAAACGGTCGAACGTTGAGCACTGTTGGTCATATTTTGTCTATCTTTTCTATTATTTTCCCCCCAGGAATCAGTAAAGCGTGAAATCCTTCAAGAGACTTCAAGATCGACTGACATACATCTTGGATAGGACACCTGTTGATCTCGAAGGGCTACAGTTTGCGTGCCGTCAGGCTTTTGTTATATTGAGTGCACTGGGTGACATTGTTGATTTAGGGAATAATATACAGTCTGCACTTGCAGACCTGAATAGCCTTATCCAACAAGAGAGAGATAATCAACAGATATTTGTGACCCTTGAGTTGCAAAAATGTTGTGGACGTGGGCGTCCACGATTGAATGTGTCAGTAGAGGCTCTGACACATCTGGTTGAACTGGGACTGCCATCGAGTTGCATCGCCAGACTCCTGGGTGTGTCTAGAGCAACGCTTTTTAGGCGGATGACCGAAAATGACATTTCTATATCTGCTTCATATAGTGGCTGCACTGATGACGAATTGGATTCATTGATCACCACAATAAAAAGTGCAATGCCAGATGCTGGCTACCGTGTAGTCCGAGGTGCTCTACTTGCGAAGGGACACAGAGTGCAATGGGAACGGGTGTATGCATCCATGCATCGTGTGGACAGTGTTGGTGTGCTCGCCAGGATGACCCGGATGGGATGTGTGGTGAGGAGAACATACACAGTTCCTTACCCTAAGTACATGGTGCACATTGACACCAACCACAAGCTCATCAGGTTTGTCTGCATGCTGTCTGTATGTAATCTGTTCATTTTATTATTTTTAATGTCTAGTTGTATATATCTTGTGTATGTAATCATATCATTGTATATCATTGACAGGTACAACTTTGTTATCTTTGGGGGAATAGATGGCTATTCAAGGAAGGTAAGACTATTCTATTGTCAAGAACCAACAACTGCAACATGTTGCCGAACATCATGTGATGGTTTTAGTTTTCTAAGCTTCAGTTTATTTTCTGTACCAACAGGTGGTGATCTTTAGGTACACAATCTAACCTATAGTTAATTACATATCGCCTCTTACCAAACAGACGATATGGACTTCTAAAGTCACCTTATATTTTAAGTGATTCAGATCAAACAATGTGCATTTACTTATTTACTTAATTTCAAAATAAATACTTTGAAGAACTTGTGAAATAATTAAAACACTTATACTAGTAACCGCACAATATATGTCAAGAAGCTTGCCTGAGCTATCATGATATTCTGTTATACATTGAATAATTCTGTTGTGCGTTGTTCTCTTAATGCTGCACATTGTCATTTGACAGATGCTTCAAGTTAAACTGATTCATCAAGGTACTAATATGTTGTTTTATGTGTACTTGTATGTGTAGATTATGTACTTGAAGATAGCAGACAACAACCGGGCTGACACCCACTTGTGTTTCTTCAATGAAGCTGTGAACGAGCACGGGTTTCCTCTGAGGTATTCACATTATTTCATATGTAATCATTAGTGTAATTGCGGACCTTTCCATCAAATTGAGATGTTCCCCTCCAATGGCTGCATCAGTGACGACCACTTTACTTTTGATGGGACTCATTCATTGCAAATATTGTCGTGCTTTACTGTTAGTTCAAAGAGGCAATCTGAACATATAAGTTAAAACAATTGCCATTATAAACGGTACTTTTCTAGGTCACAAAAGTGCTGTCGGACACAGCCATATCAATTGTTAATTCTATGTGAGCCCCTCACATATGACAATATATAAGCGACATGTCAGATTTTTCTATCCCTCAGCTGAGATTCATGTACTGTACAGAAATATGAAAATATAATCTATTCACAAGCTGATGTGAACCATCCCTCATTCAGGTGTGGAAGATAACTCGAGGTTTAATAAAGTGAAAGAGAACTCTTAAGGGTTACAGTTAAGGACCTGTCCAGATATCTCAAATATGTATGTCCAGAGAGAGCCATTTGTGATCACATTATGGATGTAGATCATTATGGAATTGTACCCCTCGTTTTTTGGACCTTCAAATACGTAGATTTTAACTATGCATAATTATTTGATTTATTTTCCAGAGTGAGAGGAGATCATGGTGGAGAAAATGTGGGAGTAGCACAATTAATGTTCTCAGTTCGTGGAACTGACAGTAACAGCTTCATTGCAGGGAAAAGCGTACACAATCAACGGTGATTTAAACCTAATTTTGTAAGCTTATGAGCATATTTCTTCTTCTTAATATTCCCTTTAACAAACCTTCATAAGCACATGTTGAGACCATTCCTTCACAAAGAAGAAAATGACAATTTTCACAGAAATGTACCAGCCACGCAAACATTTGAAAACTCACTTAATGTTATGTTTGTACTCTCCTGTCAAGTCAGTTGATTTTTTTTAAATAAATGCAATTTTCAGTTAGAGACATTGCCATTGACTCAATGACTAGGAAACTTTAAATTGTTCATAGTGAACAGTTTGAATTTTCTTTTAAGTTTAACATTTTTTTGTGTTTTCTTCTCACAGAATTGAACGCCTCTGACGTGATGTGTTCATGAGTGTTACGGGTGTCTTTTACAACACCCTGCACTCTCTTGAGGAACAACACCTGCTTGACATCAGTAACGTCCTGCACATCTTCTGCTGCCACTACGTTTTCTTGCCACGCATCCAAGCCAACCTGGATGTGTTCAGTGAGGCCTGGGCCAACCATCCCATCAGGACAGAGCAAAATCTGACACCCAATCAGTTGTGGCAGGTGGGCCAGCACCTGAATCCTGTTGCAGATCCTGAGCCTGAGGTAAATTATGAATTTTCAAAACCATCACTATCTCTTGTTTATTATCAATCAATAAAAACCCAAACAGTATAATAAGTTATCTGATTCATAAACTAACTCCCGTTCTTGGATTAAAAGAACCTCTGCTGGGAGCAAGCAAGAACACTTTTCTATAATATTACACTATTACCTTAACATTATTCCACAATCACTCCATTTTTTATTATTATAGAACAATTGCATACCCTCTTTATTTCGCCTGATCACATATTTTGTAATAAGAAGCAGTAATGGCACAGTGCTTGCTTTAATATTTGTACACTCACTTTGTCTTTTTTAGGGTTCACTCATACCAGAGATTCAATGGGAAGAGAGTGGATACACAAATGAGCATCATACCGGGGTCAATGTCCCTACGCTGAACTTCCCTCTCTCAGACCTTGAAATTATGCAACTGCAAGACAACATTGATCCATTGGAAGAATCTGAATGAGTGGACATATATCTCAATACTGTCCAATACATTGAGAATTTAATTGAGCACCGATAGTTGTTACATTTAACAACTATAGTATGATTTGTGTCATGATTTCAGTTATTTGGCAATGATGGAAAGTTAATCATTTTATATTTACATAGCTTATGCTTGATTAAGTTAATCTCAATTGCATGATTAGACATTTTTCTTTTGACTTATAAATTAATGGAAGTGTTTTTAGAGATGCATTTTCAGTCAGGATCAAAAACCGTTTCAGAGCAACAGAATTACATTCATTTTACACTCTGTACAAAATAAAAACATTGTAAAATAACTATTCGGAGTGTAATGCTTTACTGTTCAAGGGATTGGGCATTGTTACGGCCCGTCCACACAGCGGTGTGCGTTGAAGCTTCCAACGCTTCTGCCCATTCACTTTGAATGGGGTGACGTCACTTTTAGCCGAACTGCATTTTGGAAAGCGACGTGGAGCGTTGCTGGCGTTACTGAAGCCGGTCTTCAGTTTCTGCATGGCCATTGACAAAACGTGTCGGTTGACACCTTGGCCGACTGCTGCATCCCCTTGAAAAGACGACCTCATTTAGAAAAGTACAACCAACAAGATGATATTCAACATACACTTACCAAGAGACAACATGAATCATCCTTCAAGCTTTCAATACAATAAATGTAACTAGTTCTTTCTTCCCTGGTCTAAGGGACATGAACTTAATCCTCAACATGCAAGTAAAAACAAACAAAAAGGCAAAATTCGACCCAGATGACAACCTATAATGAAACATGAGAAGTTACACTATTTATTAATACCTCTCAGCCTGCACTTCAATGGAGCTGCCCAGTTAACATTGTTCATTTTAAAGAATGAAATCAATGAACTGTCTGTTTCTTCTTCTGCGTCAAACAAGTCGATTGACAGAAAGAGGCGTGGACATTCATAGTTACGTTCCAGCAGTTCCTCTCTGAACAACTGACATGCCTTCCGGGGGTCCACTTCATTGGCCCAGGCTGAAATGTAATTTGAAGGGAAAAAAAGTGGTTGGTACAATAAACTTCATAATATGTCAGCTTCAATTGTAAAATAGTACTTCATTTATTGTCTCATTTAGTAAGCCCTGTATTTTAAAGCAATATATTAAAAGGTAGTAACTTGAAATCAATTATCCTTTCCATATTACTGGATCAAACATGTAACAACATTCATTTTGGTGATCATTGCTATTTAAGTGTTTGTGAGTAGTCACTGTTTCAAACTACACCACAGCAGTAATTGTTCTGAATAAATAACCTGCTGAAACTGTTGCTGGCAATCGTTGAACTGAAGGTCCTGGCATTCCCTCTGTCCTTGTCATACTGGCTGCATCGCTATGATGAGCAGGGTCCATTCTTGGAAAAGACAAAACAAAAAACATACTCACAGGAATGGAAAATAGAGACTAGTGAGCGCCCTTCTTTTTTTACATATTTCTTCTTGCATATCAAACAAAGTAATTTAAATCAGATCCCTAATAAGTATTTCGGCTCTGTTAAGATTTCTACATTTCCTAAAAATGCATCACATGCTCTGATGCAGCTGCTATAGCTGTAACATTACAGCATTTTAAAACACAAAAAAGGAACAAGCACATTCACCAAACGATATCGTTATTAGGTTTGACACTTTGTATATGTTGTTCACCTCTCTCAAAACATGTCTATCTTCCATCTTTTGCTTGAACAAGTCAAAACGTCTTACCCTTCACCACATGTGCTTGCATGAAATGAGAGGACATCAATTGGGTAAGATTCAAGACATATAGGGCAAACCTGTAAAAAACATAAACAAATGTCAATACCTTTAAAACATATCACATTATTATAAGAGGTTTTATGTTTAATAATTCTCTCTCAGATAAGTGATACAGGAAACATAATTCTATGATAAAAAAATGAGTACATAGACAGTGTGCAAAAAGTCTGTTTGGTGAAATGTGTTATACCCTACCTATATACACACCTGCAATCATGCTGTCATTATTTACTGAAAACAATAAGGCTTTTATACTAAATTGCAAAGTAACTTTAACAGGATCAGCATCAACTACCTCTGACAATTCTCCCATCCCTGTGTTAGGTGGATTTGGCTGCTCAATCACTTCATCAAGAGAAGTCCCAGATTCACTCTCCTAAAAAACAAAAAAGGTACAGAGAATTGGTTCTATAGACTTTGAAACAGTCATTTGAGCAAACTAAAACATTACATATTTATTTGAGAAATGAGAGAAACGTTTTAATAACAGCTTACAGTCAATATGTCATTACATTCCTCCACATGTAAAGGCAACAGCTGCAAAGGCATTTGACTGCCACATGTTATGCAGGTTGACTGTGGCATCTTTGCAAACTCTGCCGAGTCATAGGGTAGTGGTTCGGTAGAAAGTTGCTCCTGTAGTGGAATTACAAACACAATGTTTTTTCCGTTGTTAGACGCTGTTTTGAGGAGCCTTGTGGAGTACCCCTCGGAGTCAGTAGGAATTATGGACAGCTTTCGACGTCCACTACCACCTATTTTAAAATCAAAATAGGAACAACACAAGTGTGCTTTAAAACCACCTGACAGTACATACATTAATATTAGGGATATACGTTACACTTTGTCAGGCAAACTTTAGTACTGTTTTATACAACTTGAAGAAGTGATATGAATGGTAATTCAAAGTAGGGCAACAGAAAACACATATGTGGGGCTTCTGAGTGTGAAAAACACAACACAGCATTTTCACCAATGGAGATGAGAACAATATTACCTGCTGACTTGAAAAACATCCAGCCTCCTTTTAATGTTTTCAGTTTTGGAAATTCTTCCTCAACCGAAGCCATAGTCTTTAAAACAAAGTGAAATAACATACAATATTCAGCAAATGATTCACATTTTAAATCATTGAGAAATCTTTAATACTGTCTGTTTATATGATTACCTCACTGTGCAATAAGTTGTCCGGTAGATTTAGCATCCTCTTTCCAAGGCCAGCATAGGCAAGTGGTAGCTCTTCCGAGCCCTTAGGTGTAAACTGACTGGGTCCCGAAAGGACATATATGCGAAAGTCCGTCCGTTTGACGATGCAAGGAGCCGGGGTGGGAAATCGTCTTTTGCCTCTTGGCTGATCAGTACTGAACATACTTGGGAATTGCCTGATGTGGGAATGACAAAAGGATCTGTGAGACTAGACATTGTTATATCATTTGCAAATCATTGGCTTGCGTTGATGGTTTTGTTAACATAGGTTGAACAAATTGTATGAATAAAAAGCGAAATCATAGTTAATATTCTGTCGATACAAAAACAATCTTGACACTTAGCTTTATCTTACCAAAATATTTGTTTTGAAAACATTAATATATTGTGTTTGGGACGTTTCAAGGCAAGGGGTTGTTAAAGGTTTTAAAAGCAGTAATGGAGGATACATACTATGGACAAATGTTTTAAAACATTAACTCAACATTACATTAGAGTAATGCGAGGGGTGAGATCAAATATCAGATGTTTACACATCTACGGGATTAAGCCACAGTTTGATCTTGAACTGTCAAATGTAAAACAAAGTCTATTAAATCACCTTCTCATCGCCTGCCTCACCCTGACATCATTGTGGGATTGGACGCTGTCTACCGCCCTGACTGCTACGCTGACCGGTGCACTCTCTGCTATGCTCACTTCTGGTGGAGTTGGAGTCGCAGACAACTCCCTGGCTATTAATTGAACTAAAGCCCGTGCTGCTACCTCGACCCGAGGCGTTACACCCTGTCGAACAGTCAATTAATTTTCTCTCACATTCACTTCACTGCAATATTTTACTTGGTAGCAGAAGCACATAATAAGAATGGGGGATCGTTAGACCGTTAGTCAGACAACGCTAGTTAATGTTAGCTTATGGAGCTCAGCTACTACAACACAGCTAACCAAAACAGTTCTATATAATTCTCGAATTAAACAACTAACAACTAAGCAAAACCAATCCTTCATAATTTAGGAGTATTTCATAATTTACACTTGGAGCGGGAGGCGCGCGACCACCAGACGCCATTTTAAAGATGACCTCTGACCTATCAGCTCCGGAGTCCGGACTGCGCAAAATGCGTAAATGAAGTGCTACGTCACGAACGCAAGAAATCCTACCCACGTGGGGGCGCGCTCATGTGATTGGCTTAGACTGGAGGAGACATCTGATTGGCTATAGATGAGAGAAATTACAAGTACGAATCGGGTGAGCGTCAGGGGAGTCTCAAAAAACCCACACACGAATGCACAGCGATCCGTGCACAGAAAGCTGTTTGTGTTTGAAGGTGCAGCGGTTTTAAACGGAAAACTAATATGTGTGGATCAAAAATACTCATGTAAAACTTTTTTCTGTGTTTGGATTTTATTTACATGTATATGAAACGGAACACATTTGTGTATGCATTGAAAAACACAAGTGTGGATCCGGAAATACAAGTTTGAATCCTTTTGCGGATCATGAAATACAAGTGTGAATCCTTCTGTGTGCATGTGTGTATTATGAGACTGTTCTGAGCCCATACAGTACTGAAGCACAGGAAATTTGAGTCATGAGCAACAACTGCGTCCGTGATTGTTCCTCATGTAAGACGGGGTATATCATGAGCTATGACCTACACGCGATATGCGAATCCTGCCTGGGGCCAGAGCATGCGGACGCGGCTCTCAGCCAGCAGGTCGTTTGTTCGCATTGTGCCCGTCTCCCGTCAGCCGTCAGGAAGCGAAGAGCGGACGCTCTAGCCGCTACGGCTGAGGAGGAGGATTTGCCCGTCCAGGAGCACAGGGACGACAGCCTGTCTCTGGAGCCGAGTGCTGGGCAGGAGTCGGACGACTCCTACCCCGTCTCCCTCCATGGCTCGCCATGCGGCTTGTGCGAAAATTGAAGTAACTTGAAAGTTTGAAGTGAAAAGTTGATACAGCGTATTTTTGGTATATTCATTTTAATGACACCTGATATATAAGAGGTGTGTTGCATCATGTTATCACTAATATATGTGTGGTTTTATACATTCCTGTGTGTTAATAGTTGAAGGAACAAAGTACATTTTTCCTCTTAAATATAGAGGTTTTTTATATTCAACAATGTTCCCTTTTTCTTAAAAGTAGATTAGCGCAATAGTCTTTTTCTTCCACTTTTACATATAATCAAAAGGGTGATTTTTTTGGCTATTTGTGAGTAGGTAAGGTGCAGTATAACTGGTGAGTTCTGTTTTGAGTGAAAAGATTACCCGTTAAGTGTTTTTCAGAAAGCCTTGTTGCAGTTCGAGGCCATGAGTTTCTTAGGTAATCATCAATGGTCTTTGCAAAATAACAGGGGAACTCCAAGAGACATTTTCCCCAGATAGAAGGCAGTTACATTCTTGTAGTTAATGAGGCATGACAGGCAGACCTATAAAAAGGGCCTTGAGAACTGGGTCACACAATTAAGGTCTGAATAAAATGTATGTATTAAATTGTGCTGAGCAATGCCTGTGGTTGCATTCTATTGACTTCTCTGCTGTATTCTTTCATGTGTATTCTTTCCTTTGTGGGTAAAATTGCTACAACATTGTGGAGTAGTTAGCTTAAACATGTTTTATTACTCTGCATAAAAGGGGGGGTGCAGTTGTGCAGGACAGGAGACTAGGTGGGGGAGGGGATATTCTTAAGATCTCCAACAAACAGGGAAATCTACATATCTTGAATGGTATATGTGTGTGTTCAATTACTTTGTATTAATAAATAGCAGTCTGTGTAAACAAAAGCTGGAAATATGAGAAATGAAATGATTATCTTTGTGAGCAAGGGGATATTCTTTGGACACAGCTCAAGCCTCTGGAATGTGCAGAAAAGGGTGTGTGTGAAAGTCTATGCAAGAAAGTGAGATAACGGACACCAGATGTATTTTGCTACAACCTCAGGACACTTGTTTATTATCTGGCTGGCTCGCGCTGATTCGCTACGACACGCCATCTTTTTGCATCTCCCAATGAGATAACCTGACTCAGCTCCTCCCGTCTTGTTGTAGAATATAAGCTTGCTCTGGATTGGGTTCGTTCTCTTTTTCCTCCTGCTGCGAAGACCGAAAGATCACAACAGCACGAGAAACCAGAGCAGGAGTGCTCCTAATTGTATTATATTGAATTGTATTGCATTGGATTGGATTATTACCTTTTATAATTAAAACAGATTATTGTTTAACTGGTATCCTGGTGTGTTCTGATTTCCTTCCTGTTATGATTTTAAGCAGCTCGCCAAATGACACGCGGGGCCGAGGTGGGTTTTAAAATCCCTCTGCTCCAACAAGTGGTGACGTCGACGTTTGCGAGTGGGAGTTCAGAGGAAGTCACATCAGCAGCCAGCGGACGAAGCTGTCCAGGGGTGACACCTCGAAATACTTTCTGACAACTAAAAACAGAGCTCTATACAAAATACCAGGTAAGCGGATACCCGTTACACTCAAAATCTGTGATTTGGCTATATTCAAAAATGTTAGAGTTGTCAGGAATATTTCCCAGTATCATAGTCTTGACGGTATAATGCAATACATATTTTAGCATAGATAGGTAACCAATAAAATAAATAAAGCAACGGTTAAAAGCCTCGTGGATTTTTCAGAATCATACGACTGACTCGTTAGCTACACGTGAAGCGATGAGGTGTGTAAGACGAAGGTGAAAGGCCCCGTGGATTTTTTCAGAAATCAATACGGCAAACTCATCGGGGAAGTTCAGTGGTTTTCTAAAGACTCCATCCAGAACAAAACAGAATAATGCTTTCCAGTCTCATAGGAGCTGCAGTTGTATTATAAGTAAAAATCCAAGGGGAGATACGCAAATTTCAAAAAGCCATTTTGAAACGACCGGAATCTCGTTATCTCTTGTTATGTTGGGTTAATCTATAAGGCTAAACGTGACGATAAAGAGATTCTGTTGACCTGGGTTTCAACCCCATGTGAATGCCACATCGCTGAAAAGCGGTGTCGAAGCGCGTTCAGAGGTCTCGTTATCTGTTGAAATAAACATCGCACTATAAAAGCTGGATAGACTGTACGGGGAATAATTTTCTGTGAATAATTACTAATAAGATATAGGAGAAAGTCAGATAAAGACGCAAAGTTTAAGCTTGTTGCTCTCAGAAGCATTCTTCCCCTCAGTGAGGTGGAGCTCATTCCTGGTGAGGTGCCGCTATCTGCTGGACGTATTTTGTAGTATTTCTTGAATTACATTACATTTGACTGGCGCCTTTATCCGAAGCGACTCACAATAAGTGCGTTTGACTAGGAAAATACAATCAAAAACAAAACAGGATCATTAAAGTATATCTGGGTTTATAGAGCCAAAACATTTCAAGTGCTACTCAACTGCCTTTAGATAAGCCAGTCCGTTGTTAGTATCATAAGTGCTTTTGTTAGTACTTCTTTGTTAATAGTTCTATCATTCGAAGTGGAGTTGAAATACTTGAGTTTTTACACTCAAAATATTTACACATTTGGATTAAGGGCAGGGCAGTTAAATAAATACATTAACTACGTTAGGAGTAACGACAAGCATTGTCCACTATATTGATAAATACAACTGAACACATATCAGCCTAGTCAGATAAATAGGATACAACCATCATGGAAGGACAGTTTAAAAAAGATGATTTACACATCCCAATTCCCGGAAGTTTCCGAGAGCAATGGGGACAGACTGAGAGATTGATTCTCAGTGGAATCAAACAGGGAGACAAGAAGAAGGCTTGTGCCGACCTCGGGTTCCTCCATAAAAAAATGATAGAAGAAGACAGAGTGGGAGGAGATGACACTCTAGGAAATTTAAGCTCAGCTCTAAATGTTTATGAACGACAGCTTGTAAAAAAACTTGGTGACCTAAACCAACAAAAGCACGGATTATTAGGCCGGACAAAACTAAACAAAGAGAAGGAGGAGGTAGATCAAATACGGAGGCTTTGTCATAATGCAGCACTCGCCATGAACGGTGTAGCTGTTACTCCCTTCACAGCCAAAACTCCCCCAGTTCTGGTCACGGTCCAAACCCCGACCCAGGGAGAGGAGTTTCAACACTCTAGTTACCTTGGCACTCTCCTGTTCCCTCATGACAGTATAGGGACGCACGTGCCAGCACAAGCACCTACAGATGAAGAAATACATCACTTTATTGCAGAACGTGTCAGGGGTTATGGGAGTATGAATAAAGAGGAAACCTCTGCCTCAAACAGGGAAGACATGGGGAGGCAAACTCTCAGCAGTGCTGTAAATGACATGTGCACTGCACAAAAGGCTGGCTCAGAAGAGAGGTCTCAGACAGGACCTATAGAGGATCCAGTTATCCCCTTCAGTTCCCCCCTCATTTACCCGGATTTATTTAATCCATTTAAACAACCTCCCCCTTACTCTCCCCCTGTCCCAGACACACCCCCCATGTCTAATCTACAGATGCCACTAACAAAAGGGTGCTATGGATCAGACCAAGAACAAGCAAGTGATAAGGGGGGTAACTTTACAATCATGGGAAATGTTTCACTGACTCCTTTAAGGAGTACCTCTATTAAAAGAGGCAAGAGCAGCCCCACAAAGGCAGAATTACTCACCATTGTAGAACGCCAAGAGGAGAGGGAGAGAGAGGATAGAGTACGATTTGACTATGACAGAAGACAGTATGAGAAGAGAAGAAAGGAAGAGGAGAGAAGAAGTGATAAGAGAAACGGAGACGAGGGGAGTGGGGGTAGTCAGGAGAGAGAGAGGGGCTATCACCATGGGGCGGAAGAATTACTGGGACTTGAAAAGGAACGAGAGAGTCAGAAGGGAAATTGAGGTAGAAGACAAATAGAGGGAGACAGTCAAGACAGAGCAGAAGACAGCTCCTCTGAGGGAGAAAGGTCAGGTGACTTACCTTTTAGAAGTAGAGAAGCCCAGACCCGCTATAAACCAAAAAGTAGGGGAGGAGCATCTGGAGATGATAGTGATAAGCATTACTCTGAAGCAGAACACACAGGGTATAGAGGTAGCTATCAGGACACTGCTCAGCAAGGGCGAGCAGAACAGGAACAGGACAACTGCAGTAAAAATAGGACAACGGTTAAGAGCATATCTCTGGAAGGAACAATCACTGAATTGACTGATGTACAGGTTCTTGGACTCCCCCGGGGGATGTTAAGATCCCATCACACCTCGGACAACCCCACATCTCATACCTTTATGGCCCCAGTATTACAGGCTCCTTTAGTGGCTCTCCCCAGTGGGAATATC